CCTGCAGCTTATAATTTTTAAGCATATATAAGCATATTGGAACCATAATAGCTCAGTGGTTACAGCATCGGTCTTTCATTTTGATGGGCAGGGTTCGATTCCAGTCATGATAAAGTTTTTTTTTCTTTTTCATTTGTTAGATTTGCATGTAATTATAATATTAACATGCTAAAATGAATTCGTACTAACGATTTGATTTTTTTTTCTCAATTATTTATGTAATTTATCGACGCCGAGTCAGAAAACATATGAACAGGGTTACAAACACTTTTTTTACTATAGCTATATGAACGTAGCTTTTTTTTAAGCAATTTAGAAATATTCAGAAGTATGTAGTTGGAACAGTCCGCGGGGAGTTCCGGCACTTCGCTGGCAAGCTCTATCCCTACCCTTCATACTCAAGCCTGCATTATACAACTTATAAACATAAACATAATATCAGAGATGATATGTTAGCTCTGTGAGTAGAACACCAAGCTTTCATTTTACCGATTAGGGTTCGATCCCAGTCATAGCCAATTTTTTTTTCCTTTTTTTCTCATTAAAATTTTATATAAATACAATAATTTGTTGCTTATATAAGTTTAAAATCAATTCCTATTGTCTTTTAAAGACAACATTTTCGAAAAAAGAGAATTCATAGTAACTTGTTCTTCACCCTCAACTTATTTTCAAAAAAACAAGTTGTTTTCCGTAATTAATTGGAAGAATAATGTAATATAATATATGAATTGATTTATAAGTATATAAAGTCACTTGAACAAGAAACAGAAAAAAAAATTGCCTATGACTGGGATCGAACCCTGCCCAGCAAAATAAAAGGTCGGGGCTCTAACCACTGAGCTATTATAGTTCCAATTATATAAAACGATGCTTGAAAATTATAAGCTACAGGCTTGGGCACAGAGAGTGGGGGTAGAGCTTGCCGGTGAAGTGTCGGAACTTGCCGCGGATTGTTTAAACTATTTTTTATTGTTAATAAGTTGTTAAAAAAGGCTATTATCAATGTATTTGTACAAAAAAAGGTTAATGACCCTGTTCAAATATTGTCTCATTTGTCATTGATTAATTGAAAAAAAAATTTTACATAAAAATTGAAATTTAAAACTCATTTTCGGCATGATAAAATTGCAATTACATGCAATTTGAATTAAAAAACAAAAATTTTCCGCAATTGGAATCGAACACCGTTCGGTAAAATAAATGTCGAATCTTCTGACTACAGAGCCAACATATGTTCATTTGCTTTGTTTACGTTTAGATATCATAAGCTTCAGGCTTGGTAACAGAGGGTGGGGGATGTGCTTGCTCGTCAACTGTTCGAACTCGCAGTCTTCTCTGAAAAATAAGACGGAGATAAATAGATATATTCTGTGCTCTGTCTTGCTCGAAACAGATTATTCTGAAATTTGTAAATTTCTTGGTACCCTAAGGCTCCCTTTTTGTAGTGCATCCCTGAAAATTATCATTTTTCGAACGATTTCTCTGTTACCTACTCAATTTCAATTGATATCGAGCTCCGGCTTTTCGCCGCACAACGTGAGGGCGTAAAAATTGGCTATAACTGGGATCGAACCCTAATCGGTAAAATGAAAGCTTGGTGTTCTACCTACAGAGCTAACATATTATCTCTGACATCATGTTTATGTTTATAAATTGTATAATGCAGGCTTGGGTACGAAGGGTAGGGATAGAGCTTGCCAGCGAAGTGCCGGAACTCCCCGCGGACTGTTCCAACTACATACTTCTGAATATTTCTAAATTGCTTAAAAAAAAGCTACGTTCATATAGCTATAGTAAAAAAAGTGTTTGTAACCCTGTTCATATGTTTTCTGACTCGGCGTCGATAAATTACATAAATAATTGAGAAAAAAAAATCAAATCGTTAGTACGAATTCATTTTAGCATGTTAATATTATAATTACATGCAAATCTAACAAATGAAAAAGAAAAAAAAAAACTTTACCATGACTGGAATCGAACCCTGCCCATCAAAATGAAAGACCGATGCGCTAACCACCGAGCTATTACGATTACTAAATATTCATATATGCTCAAAAATTATAAGCTGCAGGCTTGGGCATAGAGAGTGGGGGTAGAGCTTGCCAGCGAAGTGCCGGAACTCGCCACGGATTGTTTAAACTACTTTTCAATGTTGATAATAATATGATTAACTTGTTAATAACATAACATTGTTAATACATGTAAAGATGTATAAGTTGTTAAACACAGGCTATTATCAATGTATTTATACAAAAAGAAAGTTTATGGCTCTGTTCAAATATTTTTCGACTTAGCGTCAATAAATTCAATGAATAAAGAGAAAAAAAAATCAAATTGTTATAAAAGATTAATTATAGCATGTCAATATTATAATTACATGCTAATCTAACGAATAAAGTAGAAAAAAAAAATTGGTTATGACTGGGATCGAACCCTGCCCGGCAAAATAGAACTCTGACGCCCTGACCACATGGCCAGCATAATCTCGATATTAAGTTAATGTATATTTGTTTTCACACTACATGCTTGGATACGCCGACTTGGAATTGAGCTTCCTTATTAACATTTATACCTGATAAAAATGATAATAATGGATGAATATATGTATTTGAAGTTATTTGCAGGTATTAGATTAATTAATGTTGAATGAGTATCATCATTTTTATTTATCCTAACTGCAATAGTCATCAAAGTGTAGGGCATTGTAAAGTGATACAATATGTTTACATCACATACATATATTACCCGTACACACACATACAGAATTTACTCGCCAAAATGCAGGGCACCATCAGTTCTGGATACGGATTGAGCATTTTTTCAATATGGATGACTGAGGTCATCTGCGAGCATAATGCTGTCACCTATCAGAATTTTTTCAAACTAATTTTCCGGAGAATGTCATCTGGAATACAAGATTATAATTATTTCTAAATTATTCAATTTTATACTATGAATTGATTTTTTTGACATTCAGATAGGTAGCAAGGACTGACACAAACACGAATTTTGGGCGAAAAACGTATAAAAATGAAAGAATTAGTGATTTTTCATCTGAATGATGTGGCTGCCATCTTGGAATTTAAGCGCGGCAAGTCAACTCATAATTTGTTCATTATTCTTTCTAATTTTTTTAATAAAAATATTCACTACATACAAAAAGTTGTTGTTTACGTCAGTCCGGCATTAATTCCTCTGTAATTTGGTACCTAATTGCATAGAAATAATAGTAAATTGGCGAAGAAATTAGAAATATCCCGATCCCATATATTTAGATAGGGGGAATCAGTCGCCTCTTTGACTTCAGCCCAGCCTTAATTTTACCATTGCGGCGATTCCCCGCGGCGTGACCAAACTAGGAAAAAATTTTGATGCGACCAACGAAGAGTTAAATTAAGGTTTATAAATTTTGTAGTCGGGATAGTCTATTGTTATAGGGACTATCTAAAAGGGTCTTTAATCATAAACTTTGTAAATTAATTTAGATGTGGAATCTCTATTTGAAAAAAAAAAACTACTTTATCGATAATTGCTCGGATGGTAGAAGCGATTATATCGCCAACGGGATCCAGAACATCAGACGCTTAATTTTTTTTTTTAATTTCCAGATATGAATAGTCTTAAAATACTGATCTGCTCAGATATAAATTTAGAAGACAATGTTAACTAAGATAAAAATGTTTTCAAATTCAGATTTTATGACTGAATAAATATTTTAATGTCATGATTATAATTCAGTTTCTATACTGAAAATAACTTTTGAGGTAAAGTAATGAAACTTAAGTAGACTCGATCCTCGAACCCTCGTAACCATAGACTTGTATAGTAGCTATTCCGCTAACGTAGGGAATTTAAGATGCTATTTTTAAATCATCTATTTGTATAAATGCGGCTATTTGCATAATGCAACGAAGCATTTATCGATAATAAGTTTAAAAAATTTTTTATCTAATTTCTTCTATGATCATCATGTCTTAAATGAAATGTTTAACTCATTACCTGACAATGTCTTCCCACTCTTTTTCTACATTATCTTAATATATTTTCAAACAAAAAATTGTCGTTAAACCATTAAAGAGACAGTCAACCTGTCGTCTTACAACACTGAACGAAGCGAAGATATTTGTAGTATTGAGAGCCAAAAAGAATTTAAATGATGATTAAAAACGATTAATATTTAATCTAGATAAATTTTGATTTTTTTTGTAGGGGACTTCCCCCCCCCCGCGCTCCTGCTTTCTGCCACTTTTGTTGCAAAAATAGTACAGTACACAATTTCCTATTTCTGTACATATGATCATATCAGATGAGATCTGATTTTTCTGTCTATAAAAAATTATTAACTTTATTTAGTTTCAATCAGATTTAGCCAAATCTGAATACGCTTTATCTGTTAACACAGACTCATAATACTGATCTGATTAGGTCTAGCCTTATCTAAACTCTTTTTTGTCGGAGAATAATTCCGTTATCTTCCGGCCGCTTAATATGTAAAGAACAACCGTATTGTGAATTTCTAAATAGCCTGTATATTAATTTTTAATCTATCAAAACTTTTGTGTATACGATATAGTTATTCGTAAACTATCAAAGTTCTTCATTAAAACAGAAAAACACTGAAAAACTAAAATATAACCTTTATAATAAATTCGTTTTTTTATTTCGAAAACACTAAAAAATTTCAACTCGGGTTCTCTCCAGTCTCGATCGTAGACTAAACGTAAACGAATTAGTAAAGTGTTGCCAATAACAAATTTAGTCGTTTATCATACATCACATAAATAGAAATATATAATTATTTTGCAATATTAGAGTATGTATTATTTTATTCGAAGAATTTTAACAATCCTACCCATTTTGTACTTGAGAATCTATCAAAAAAAATCGAGTTAATATATAAACTCTCCCAAATCATGTAGATGGTGATAGCTTATCTAAAATTATCTAAAAATGTTGGAAAAAAACGAAGATTAGAAAGTTGTCATTAGGGTAATTACCTTTTCTAATTCGAATTCTCGAATTCGATGAATTGATCCTCCAATTGCTTTTTTTGTTAAACTCATATCTAATCGTAGATACAGTAATGGAACCACAGAATTGCGAATTGACAGGTAAACGCCACGTGTTCAATGCAAAATCTTCATTTAATTTACATAAACTTTGTATTCTCTGGATTTTTAACCAATTAATATCCGTAAATTTCATTATAGCATCTATGCAATAAAATGCTCAGTAAAAATTTTAAAATGTAAAAAGAATTGTCCAATACTTTTAATGTGTTATCCATAATACTCTTCATAGATAGTCTTTTAACTATTTTTATACAATTGCTTTAATCTTTGAACAAAAAAAATTATCATCTCATTGATGACATATTACTTAAAAGAACAATATTGATTTAGAACAATTGTTGGTATGAATAAATATTAAGGTTCGAAAAAAAAACAACTTGTATTAGTTTAAACAATGGTAGTAGAAAAGAATAGGAAACCTAAAATAAGATTGGAAATTATAAAAAAGGAAATATTAGTGCTCTGCAGTGGTCTGGGTGCGACCCGAAAGGTCCACACGACCAACTTCCCAGTGGAAAAAATGAAAAAACAATTTGAATAGAACCCGTTTCCATTCTTTATAACAAATGAACTTGTTATAAATGAAATGAGTATGTTTTTATTCATTTGATACGGTTAGTTACTTCATTTCAGTAAAAGAAAAAATTGTGCGTTAGAAGAATTCGAATATACCTCATAGATCCTTTTTTTCATTATTTACAACAAATTTAATTGTTATACACGGAAAAAGTATGTTTTCATTTATCTGATACGCTTGGTAATATTTTTTTAGTAAAAGAAAAAATTATGCATTAACAGTACTCATATATATAGAAAGGGTCCCTATTTTTATTGTTTATAACAATTTAAAACTTATTATTTAAATATTACTATGATCAATCACTTGTTAGTAACAATGTTCAATTGTTATGAACACAATTCCATATTATTGACAATTATTATTGACTATTATAGCGTCTTTAATGCTGTTTTCTCAATCCTGACACGAGTTTAAAATTCTTTCATTGCTGATTTTGTTTTTTAAAATTTTTTTTTTCGATGAAATATTGTCATCATATTTTCAGACAAGTATTCTAATCATTTAATATTCATATTTCTTTAAAGATTTTGAAATTTTGTCTAAAAAATGGTATAATTTATAAATTGAGAAATTCAGGTCATTTTCCATTTTTGTTAGTTTTTTGGTTCTGCAAAAAAAATGACTGGACCGATTTTGCTGAAAATCTAATCAGTTCTAAGTTACATAATTACGCATCGGATGCAATTGGTCCCACATCAATATCATTTTTTGTTCTCGAGAGAATCGAGGCGAAAAATAATTCCGAACGCACATACGTACATACGTACATACACACACACAGACGTCCACTGGGAAACGATCGTATTCGATTCTGGGGACCTTAAACCGTGGAGATATGTCAAAATTCGGGATTCGCAAAATCGGACCCATTACTATAACTTCCCAGTGGGAAGTTAATAAATTGATTCAACTTTAATCAAGTTCGTTGACACAGTATTACGTATAGTTTATGACAACAACACATAAAAAAAATGTTCAAAATAAATAGTTGTTTTCAATAAATAAAATATGAAAAAAGTTGTTGTCTTGTGTCCTGAAGACTCATTAATTATGAAATAAAAAATAAGTAGTATTAATTCATACCAACAATTCTTCAAATATACAATATTTTATAAACTTAGCTATCGAAAAGTCATTATATCAGAACAAGATGTCTCACGTTTCAAGTCTACTGCAAGTTTTAATTGGATTTCTCTCACAACATTTGAAATACTGCGAGCAGCTAATATGTATAGATTTTCGTTGTTAATCACTGTCAAGGAAATTGCACCATTTATAATAGAGATGTAATTGTAGATATATTGATGCTTGATAAATTAGACATTTATTTAAACCGATTAGTACCTGTTGTCACTAGTCTTCATTATACTTTTCTTGATAGACATTCTTTTTCATTCACATTCACATTTTTTATTATCAATTTTTTAATAAATGAGTCTTTGACACAAAAAAAAATTATATTTTCAGTTTTTGGTTTCTTAATCATATCAATAATATCTTTAAGTGACACCAGTTCAATTAGTTTATTTATATCAATTGTCAAATCACTTATTTCATACAAGTAAAAACACTTATTAATACAGACCTGACAGAGTTTACAACAAATTATTCCTTCCACAAGTTATTATTTTTTTCTTTTGTTCTGTTTTTCAAAGTATCATTTTTATGTTATTAATTAGATTTTGTTTCGTTGCACTATCGAAACTTTTGTATTTTTTATGTAAAATTTTTGCAGTATTTATGTATTTGTCAATAGATATATTTTTAATTATTCATTAAAAACAGAAAAATCTATAGAAGATAATTTTCAATGAACGCGATCACTTATTCATTTCACTAACATTAAAATTAAACTTCTCAACGATATTGTAACGTGGAGAGTCTCAGATGCACTTTCTTGTACGTTTGTAGTATTTATAAAACATCGCCCGGAAAGTGACTGAGCTGATTTTGGCATCGAGCCGCTTCACGAGCTAGACCGTCAAATTGACAGCTTCACAGACGTAATGTTAGACTCAATAGAAAAACTTTAATTTAGAATTGATATTTATGCTGTTTAGCATTTTTATTAACATGAATTCGAGTGTACTTAGGATATCAGATATTTAAAATAAAAAATAAAAATATCAATTTCGACAGAATTAAACAATTATTGTTTCTACAGATAATGAAAAAAATGAAATTCAACGAAAAATGTTATGAAGATTGAAATGTCAAGAATAGCGGTCATTACTAGCGCCAAGTTCATTTGCTTCCATTTTTTCTTTTTTACTCTTCTGTGTTATTATCACTATTGTATATCTAATATAATTATTGTTGTTACTTGTTCGAAAATGAACACAACCATACTGTAAACTTTGATGCATAATTTCTAGATACTTTTCTTATGTAAATGTTATTAAACAGTTTTTTACACATCTACAATTATCTAACTTGAATCAATCGGTAATTTTTATACCCTTTATATGTATGTTTCTCTATATGATAATTTAGTTTAATTGGTGCCAATATTATTCCATCATATTGTGCACTTACTAAATAAAGCTAAGATATTTGAATAACACAATGCTCACGTGCTGAAAAAAATCTACTCGAGTTGAAAAATTAAATATAGTTATAATCTAAAATTAGGTCTAGATCAGTTCAAAAGTTCCAAACTCACTGAGGTTAAAATAAACTTCCATTTCGATCTTATTCCATTAAGATTTCAAAATACCGGCAATACATTGGTCTCGTTCGGTTAGTTATTGAGAGTTTGATTTCCTGGAAACTGGTTTATTTAATAAAATTTATACCTCCATATGGATAAAAAAGTATACTACTGAACTATAAAAAATCAGACGGAGAAAAATAATCAGAGCTTTCTTACTCGACTAATCAAGTAAACTTATTCTAGAAAACATTACTAAAATTCTAGTGAAATTGTATTGGTAGTATAGAACTATTTCTCATACTTTTTGATAAACAGTATTAGAATAACGAAGCTGCAATAATTTTTATATACTTAAATATTTTAATCATTTACAATCATTTCGGATAGCTGAGCAGGCTAAAGCGTCAGTTTAATTAGTTGCGTGCGTTAAGCTTTTTAAGTTTTTTAATAGAGAAAAGTTAAAGAATATAAGATTTCCTAAACATCATCGTTAACAAGACATTAAATTAATGAAATATATACTAGTGCTAATTTTACGAAATTATCAATTTTTTTTAAATATATTATTAAATGATTAAATTAAATTAGCTATTATATTTATAAAAATTACTTTAGAGTCCAGTGAATTTTGCTTGACGTCACAATCATCCATATAGGTGAACCCTTTTTTTTGTATCAAAGACTCATTTATTAAAAAATTGATAATAAAAAATGTGAATGTGAATGAAAAAGAATGTCTATCAAGAAAAGTATAATGAAGACTAGTGACAACAGGTACTAATCGGTTTAAATAAATGTCTAATTTATCAAGCATCAATATATCTACAATTACATCTCTATTATAAATGGTGCAATTTCCTTGACAGTGATTAACAACGAAAATCTATACATATTAGCTGCTCGCAGTATTTCAAATGTAACATTGAATGCTTGTAGTATTTAGTTGCTTTTTACATGTATTACACGTGTATATATTTTTTGAATCTTTTAATTGAATTATAGCATTTCATTTTTGGTAAGCTTTAATGTTAAAAAATTGTATTATTAAACTTAAACTGTCACAAGTTGCAACGTTATCGCTTAAATTTTTTGGAGTGATATGAGATATATCAAAGACATTGATAATTTCTGATTTTTCAGCATTTCTTCTTTTCTATCTTTGGAAAAAATCTACTCCAACATTAGAGGTTTTTTATCATCATCATTCAAATTTTTGAATTTAACAATTTTGTGACAGTTGTTCTCAACTTTTCGTATGCCTAGTAATGGCAATTGCGAAGTTTTTTTGTTTTTCCGAAGACCAATTACACTTAATTCGGTTCCTTTTGCACGTCCGTGAGGTAGATTGGTCCCAAAAATTAAATCACTAATTTGTGCACAGGGTTGTGATTCATGTTCTTTAATGATTTTATCTACATTCTATATTTCGAGTAAAGATTCAGACATTTCTCTTGCTTTTACAATTTCTCTTGGTATGCTACCTTTCTTTTGTTTACATAATTTTGCTGCTATATCTTTGTTTATCACATTCGATTCCGCAAACATCAATTTTTTTCTATGATCTTGTGTAATTTTCCATAAACTTTTTAATTTTTGCTTCTTTTTTACTGAACATAAAGGCGTTGTTCTTGAAAATCCGGATGGGCGACCTCTTATTTTCAACTTATTAGAGTCATCGATTTGATCATCAATTGTAAGGTTTTTGAAAGAATTTTCTAAATTACCTGCTTTATTCTTACGGATTATTTTGATATTACCATTGTCACTGTATATTTCAGTTAATGAATCAATGTTGTTGAGTCGTTTTTCAAACGTTTCACCACAGGACGTACTAATGATTATTATCGGTTTTTTCATTCGAGCTAGAACTGAGTTTCTTTTTTACTTAAATGCACTTTATTAGATGTTATTCTATGTTTGATCGGCTCAGGGTATTCTGTATTTATGTTGTTAGGTATTTCTAACATTTTTTATTGTCTCCATCTGTCATTATACAATTCTTTGTCATTGTTGTGAGAGGTTAATCGCAACCTGTCAGCTGGACTCGCTCTCCTCCCAGCTCGGGCTCAGTCGAGCTCACCCGATCCACTCGCCCTATCCTAGCTCTTCTTTTAGCGCTCAACTAATTACAGCTCGTCTTTTTCAACCTAGCCAACATAGGCGTCCTGTTATTGTGCTAGGTCTACCGACGCCGGCTACAACGTGTTTGCAGCCATTAACGCTCACGCGACGTTCAAGTACACGTGTTCGATTACCACTTTTTCTGATTTCGCATAAACTAATTGTTTCAAGCTCTTGATAGATTCTATTCAGTCTCAATTAAGTTCAGTTATGCTCTAACATTGTTAATACGCTTTGTAAAAGTAATAAATCTTTTATTTTTATAATCAAAATCCTGATTAAGCTCAAGGAAAGTGTCTTTTGTGTGTGTGCACCTCTGCTGACCACATCCTACGGCGTAGCTCATCAGTTATCGAGCTTTTGGCTCTAAATGATTAAAATAAATTATCTCAAGCAACAATTTTCGGTTCTCGTGAAACAGTCATATAGGGGTAATTTTAAGTATTTTCGCACGGCAAAAATATGTTTGCATGGTAAAAAAGACGATTTCCATAACGAACATTCACAGGTCGATGGGCTAACAGTCTTCGAAACTGATTGTTCTTCTTAAGTAAATAATTGCATGTTCTCATTAGATAAAGAAATTTTTATTTTTTTACTTTCTTTTATTTCTCGTAAAACAATGTCACTCGCATGTTTTGTGAATTTCAGTATATAATGATATTCTGCGCTATCAGATTCAAATTGAGTGATTCTCACTCTCATACATTATTTAGAGATATTAATAGTAGCTTCTAGTTGATGTGATGCGTACCATCGGAAAAATCTTTTTATCATATTAATTACAGAACTATATTTCGGTATGACTTGTTTTATTTTAGCATTAATTGACTCCAATCTATTATTAGTGCGGTTGGATAAATTTCCAGTGGTCATTTGATAATCAACCCAATTTTCTTCAATGGTGTGCTAATTCTTATTGAAGTACTAAATCAATCGATGATCGCAAGTTTTACAAAAATCTTGGTAATTTTTATCATATTCCTCCGGAGAAGCACTATTAGCCATTTTTTGTAAAAGTAATTTTGATGTTTCTTTTTGCTCTAATGTGAGGCTCATTGATTCCACTACTTTTTCAAAGATTTTAAGTGTATGAAATAGACATATATATACCCACATCTACTACTTGACCTCTTCCATTTCCATTTTGTACGAGAAAAATCATTGTCACCATGTTATTTTTCAATAATTTATAAGTATCGTCTAAAAAAACAATTTCCGGCCACTTTTTTAAATTTTGCGGTGTTGAAAAATATAAACCTCTCACTCTTTTGTAGTTATTATGGCAAATATCAACTTGTGCTCCTGTAAAATTTTTCAAAGAACTTGTTCAAATAACCACTTTTGGGTAGAAAATAATTTAAAAAAAACAAAAATAATTTCGAATAAATGAAAAATATTGAAGTAAGACTAAAATTGTAGCTTTGTAAGATGATGGACGTGATGTAAATCATGATTAAAGAAACCTTTAAGTTTTTGGAATTTTCTCAATTTCGCAACAAGTGAAAGCTATAGCGTAATATTAATAGATTTAGAAAAAAAAATCATCATCCATTATGTCTAGTAAGATTTGAGATTTCATTTATTTTAACTCACCATATTGTTTTTGGAGTAATTGTACTGCAGCAGTTAAATCATTTTCATCTTCTCCTTTTGATTTGCTACTTATATTATGTAAATTTTTTAAACAAATTTTATTGCCGAAAGTTTCTAAAATCTTTATCTAAACCAGTTTTAAATTAGCCTCTAATTTTATCCACGCTTTAACGATTTCTTCATTTTTTTGGACAACTTTCTCTTCTCTGGCATCACATCATAAAAATACTATAAACATATAATACCACACTTATACATAAATAAATTCTAAGTTGAAAATAGTTTTAGATTTTATGTTTAAATCGATTCGTTTTTTCTTCTTTGCATTTCTTGAGATTTGAACGAACAAAATATTTCTGATTGTAACTATTTAGATTAACGGTAGAATCATACTTTAGCAACAAATCAACACACTAAATTTTATACCAAGTTTTGTCACAGTCGTTTATTTATCTTCTCTCACTATGTTATTCAAAATCGCAACATGAATAGACTCATTGTTATGTTGATCATAAGCATAAATATAAGTTAGTGCACCAATTGAACATAATCGAAATCTTTGATCGTAAATTTCTATGTTGAATAA